TGCAAGAAGGATGTCCGACTGCCAGGTTAGGCCGATCCATGTGGGATTGGGCCTAACCTGGCAGTTGGACATCTCCCAAGGGGTCACCGATTGGAAAGGGTGCAGGCTGGGCTGAGGGAAACCCCCTGTGCATGAATTTCGTGCACCAGGCCTCTAGTTGGTATATAAAAAAGCCATAGATTTATGAGTGTTAATTTTGTATCCTGCTACATTGCCAATTCATTTATTAAGTCCAATAGTTTTTTGATGGAGTCTTTAGGGTTTTCTATTTACAATATCAAATACAGTATATTTTATTACTCATCTTTGGTACCTGGTTCCACTTCTGAGTATTAGAAAAAATAAAATTATCATTGCAAGTAAATTATCATTGCAGAGTGAGGAGAGAAGGTTTTGGAGTTGGCCCTCCATTTGGACATTTACTTGGTTCTTTTTCAGTTCCATTAACTTATTCAAACATTTGGAGGGCAGGGACTTTTATTTTAGTCTCATTACTCAGCACATAACTAAAATCCTGAGACAGTAAATTCTCAAAATAATTTTCAGATAAATATATTATTATTCTGGTTCCTTTGGCACTGAATATTGTTGAAGTAGAACAAATATTCCACTAACTCTTATGTTTCAATAGTTTGTTATCATTTATGGTGAGTTTCATTCTGTAACTTGGATATCTTCTCTTGACTATGACCTTCTCACTTCTTTGAGGTAAAATGAATCCTTCATTTCTTACCTTGTCTTTGAGGCTTAAATTATATTTGGGTCTTTAGGTCTTTTCCTTGATTGCCAAATGTTATGCATTTTTTTGAGAGAATGTCAATATAGACCATGATAATTTATGGGTTCCATTTCTCAAAACAGAAGCCAGGAAAATAAAATAGACTACTTGGCCACTAAATGGTCTTCCTTGCAGACAGAATTGAATTCATTCACTATCTCATAAATGAAGCTAATTTTACAAACCTCAGACCATGGGAGTTAAAAGTAAAATTGATTCACCAGAATGAGTAGAGACACTTTTTAAAAATTTTGAGAATTTCTTTCTTTTTTTTCAGTATTCATTCAAGAAAAACTATCAGAACATCCCCAAACTACAAAATGTTCTGGAAAATGGATTGGAGTAGGAGATAAGTGTTTCCGTTTTTCTGAAGATACTAAGAATTGGACAGACAGTAAAATATTTTGCAGTTCCCAGAGATCAGAACTTGCTAAAATTGATACACCTGAAGATATGGTAAGAAAGGGGAAAGTTTTCAATCATTTCAGAGTTTAAGCTTGTACAAAAAGAGAGTAAAAGTGGCAAAAATTAATACTCAATAATGTAAGTCAGATGACGTTTTAAGCACTGAAACTGTGAAGTATTATGTTTAGCAAAATAAGCCAGTTAGAGAAAGACAAGTATCACATGGTCTCACTCATATTTGGAATCTAATTAACAAAATAAACTAATGAACAAAATAGATCCAAAGACATAGAAGCATGGAACAGGCTGTAGAATATCAGAGGGAGGGCAGGGGATGATGGGTGCAAAGAGATTAACCAAAGAATTTATATGCACAACCCAGGGACACAGACAATAGGGTGGTGAAGGCCTTGGGTAGGGAGCAGATAGGGGCCAAAAGGGTCAGTGGTGGAAAAAGTGGGAAATCTCTAATACTTTTCAACAATAAAGATAAAACAAAACAAAACAAACCTCATTCAATCTTCAACTAATACCTCTGAAGTAAATATTTACATATCCCCATTTAAAGGTGAGGATAATGAAGCAGAGATATATTAAGTATCAGTCATTATCATAGTCATAACTTGTTGAACTTGGATTTGAATACAAGCAAATTATCTAGTGATGGTATATGTCTTTAGTCAGAATATATATTGCTCAGATAGCTAATATTTTTGTTCAATATCCTTAGATTATTAAATAGATTGTTTTTAATACCTTTACAATGGCATTCTCTCCAGAGTAGCTTGGAAAACTTGAAACAGAGGATATGAAACTTTAGAGATGAGGATGTGAAGGAAATTCCTAAAGTTTGAAGAAAGTGAGACAATTAAAGGAATAAATGAGAGGGCAGAGGAAGAGGAACTTGGAATTCAGGCCTCAGTGTAACAGCAGAAGTCATTTGTTTGTAAAGAAAAGCTGACTAATAAGTCTGTGTCCCAATAGTTAGGAACCCAGAGAAGAGGGACTAAACTCATCACTTTATATATATTATTGCAATACATGGTATTCAGAAGTTAGTTTGATTTCTGATTCTATGAGAAAACACAACAGCAATGACCTTTTTATTCTGGTATTTAGTCCAAGTACTTCATTACTGAGTGTTTACTATTTTAACAGTACTTACACTTTCAATTAAACCCCTTCCCCCCTGAAATCTTTTATGATTTTTGAGAGCAAAGCTTTGCAGAAAACAAAATATAAGCATTAGTTCTCTGTCACCTTTAAAGAACACGCTGAATTAGTTCCTATAAAAACTGCTTAGCTTCTGATTTTACCAACCAGAAAGATATCATATCAATTTATCACCTTTGTCATTCACTCTGTGACTAAAAGATATTAATGGTTTATGCATTAGAATTAGAAGTTGAAACAAGTTACCTTTAAAGACAATTCGAGACAGGGTAGATCAGAGAGTTTCAGTGACTTGATAAAGTCACTCTACTACTAGAGACATTTAAGAAACAAAAGCAAAGCTAAAATCTTTTGGGGAAAACTAAACTAAACATCTGTGCTGTTAGTTGCTGTTGACACATTAAGGCATGCAAATTAAGATGTAACTCATAAAATCTGGCTGAGGCGAGAAGCATGTTTAACAATGTGCTCTAAAATATTAAATAGATTATGCCCTGATTTTTGTGAAAGGACTTTTTGAAGAAGCACACAGGAACATCTATGCACTGGATTGGGTTGAGCAGAAAACAAGGAGAGCCTTGGAAATGGACAAATGGCACCACATTCAATGCTTGGTGAGTTTCGAATTTAGTAGGGAAGGTTTTCTTCTGGTTGCACAAAAATCTTACATGGTTTGAGTTGTGATATGTGCCTTTTCACACTGAAACATACCCTATAGCAACCCATCTTCTTTCCACCTTGTTAAATGAGTGAAGTTTTTCATTTTATTTGTTTCCTATTTTATTTTTTCACTGTCAAACTCTTGCTAATCAGCCCTCCTATTGATAATTCAAATTCAACTACTTTGCAAAGTCCAACCAACCACTTAAATTTGTACAAGATCTTTCTTATTTAAGTAGAGAACATGTAGTTGTCTTTAACTTTCCAAATGTCCATCATAAGCAACATTATTTATTTATGAAAGCATTTCTCGAGTGAATCTTGTTTCCTCATTTATATTCTATTTTACCTACAAGAACTGTACTAATTTTTTTTTGTATACATGTTTTCCTCCCTTAATATTTCATTAAGTGCTAGTTAGGATTAAATATTGACATGTGTATAAGATAAATTATATTTATTACAAAAAAGGGATAATGTTTGTCAACAGCAGAGCAAATTAATAAGAACAACATTATAATTAATATCTTTGGTTATTGTTTCAGTATGTTTCAAAAGCACCAAATATATGTATAAATCTTATTACTTTCAAAAAGGAGCACTGACTAAAATTATGCCAGGAAACTGCTATTTATTTATTTATTTATTTCAATTATAGTATATATTCAATATTGACTTGTATCAGTTTTAGATGTATAACATAGTGGTTAGACAATAATGCACTTTACTGAGTGGCCCCCTGGCATATCCAGTACCCACCTCATCCCATATATAATTATTACAATACTAGTGGCCCGGTGCACGAAACTTGTGCACATTGAAAGGGAATTAATTAGAGGAAATATTTTAATATTGCTATTTGCCCTTTCTCTATAATAAAAGTGTGAGAGATAAAAGGAAATGAGTACAATGTATATGAAAATAATACATAATTTTATTAATAAATAAACAGTAATAAAATGATATAACAACAAACTCATGATGTAAAAACAACACTGATGCAAATAATGGTTGGGGGCATGACTGCGGGCTGAAGCCACAGCTGCCCCGCCAGCCCCAGTCTGCTGGCAGGAGAGCCGGTTGGGGTCTTGGCTAGTAGGGGACAGCTGCGGTCATGCCCCGCCAGCCCTGGGTTGGGTTGCCCGCCATCCAGGTCACAGATAGAAG